ACCATTTTTACCACGTGTCTGACCATTTTTCTACTTAGGGAGCCTAATTTAAAAAAATCTTAAAATTCACCCAAATGAGTGCCTGTTCTCAAAGTTTCCCTAAATTTTTAAAAAGGTATATTGGTTGATCTTGTAAAATATGAAATACTTTTACCGTCTAGTTTTGATTATATTACACTTTGAAAATATCAGGTACCATATTTATTACTATATTTAGCATAATTTAGCCAATAAATACCTATATAAATTAAAAAATCAAAATTAAACACTTTTTCTTTCCACATGAGAGATACATAAATAATGTTAAAAGAAAAAAAGAAAGAAAAAAAAGTTGACCCTTCTGGGGATTGAACCCATGGCCCTCATTTTCAATGTAGTTAACAGTAGTTCTAGCCTATTTGAATACTCTTCAAAGCGGAGGTAATGCATTAGGGTGCTAATACCTTAATCGATGCAAAGTTAAAGATATATTTGTCCACTAGTTGAAATTCTCTTTCTGTATAAACTTAATAAACACTAAGAATAAAGCTTTCTTCAACTTTCATTTACCCCTTCTTTCATATTTATTTATTTTCATTTACCCCTTCCTGCGCAGTTTTCATGCTGAAGTTGGCATAGTTTTTTATACTAAACTTTCAAATAGATTATTAAATCACTAACCTTTATTTACATAGATGACAAAAATGAAGTTGACGATCCACTTCAGATCCATGCCGGTTGAAGGTAATTGTCAAATTACACAAAACTCAATTCATATTTTCAAATTTTTGTATAACATTAATTAAAGCAAAAATTATTTATTATTATGTCCGCGGATAAATTTGGTATGCCGCTTTCTGCAAGTAAACAGAGCTTGGTTAGCAGTGCACGAGCATTTATATGAGACAAGCCATAAATGTCAAGCATTGACATTATCTAGCAATTAAGAATAATTATTCTATATAACATATGCATTGGTCAACTGTCAAGTGCAATGTTTTTCGTTTTGGGGATATTTCTAATGTGTTTTAAAACATCATAATTATATGACATTTGCATTACGTGCATTGCTTTGCTTCTCCAAATTTGGTGATATTTGGTGATATTTGTGTAAAAAATATACTTGATATATTATCAATAATATCTTTAATGAAATGGTCCCTGAGCATGTTCGTGTTATTTTTTATTGGACACACAACCGCATAGCCCATCTCTTTTAATAATTCATATATGATATTTGCTGAAATGATATTTCAGCATCGCGTAATGTGATACATTTTCTAATAGCTTCATTTAACCATTTTAACATTTGTTTTCGGCTTCCATTTGTCTCTCACCTAAAGTGAGACTTATAAGAAGAACTATGAAATTTGTTTACAGGCTAGTTACCGAAAACCTGCAAGGTGGACCAACCGCCAAGATATGACCAATCGGCAGAAACAAGACAAACATACAAACCTGTTTCTACTTTCCTTTTTATCCCATAAATCATACTTGTCAGTAGATAACCGAACTACCGCCTTGGATATATAGAGGATATTTGTTTGTTTTGCATGTAAGATTTGAATATAATGTCACTGAGTGATAACACCAGATGCAATATTTTCATGAGTGGCGTAGCCACGAGTGAAAATAGAAAAACTGATGTTCACGAATGAAATACTATTCAATCTTATATGTAAAACAAATAAATTTTCTTTTTATCCCATGCTAATTAAGGGATTTTAAGTATTTGACTGTATGCCCCCTTCGAAGAAGAGGGGCTATATTGTTTTGATAATGTCGGTCTATCTGTCTGTCGGTCTGTCTGTCCATCCATCGGTCTGTCCGTCGGTAGACCACATGGTTCCGCTGATTATCTTGAAGACTATTTATCACAAAGTCTTCATATTTCACATATTGGTTGGACATAACTAGTAGATGGCCCCTATCGATTTAAGGGTCTCTAGGCCAAAGGTTAAGGTCACAGGGGCCTTAAATGTCAGAATGGTTTCCACTGATTATCTTGAAAAGTATTCATCACAAAGTCTTCATATTTCACATATTGATTGATCATACCAAGTATATGATCCCTATAGATTTTGGGGTCACTAGGTTAAAGGGGCCATAATGACAATTTTTATTGCTGATTATCTTGAAAAATATTGATGACAAAGTCGTCATATTTCACATAGTGATTGGTCACAACTAGTACATTGAAGATCCGTATTGATTTTGGGGTCACTAGGTCAAAGGTCAAGGTCAGACGGGCCTTAAATGTCAGAATGGTTTCTACTGATTATCTTGAAAAGTATTCATCACAAAGTCTTCATATTTCACATATTGATTTGTCATAACTAGAAGATGGCTCCTATCGATTTTGTGATCACTAGGTCAAAGGTCAAGGTCACAGGGGCCTTAAATTTCTCATTATCTTGAAAACTATTTATCGCAAAGTCTTCATTATTTATCTTTTTTTCCATAATTGAATACTTCAATGTACCCCTTTATGGCAAGTTTCTCTATTGAAATTACTACAAATGTGAGTCAAGGGCTAGAAAGGGGGGGGGGGCAAATGTGTCGTTCGACATTTCTTGTTTTACTACATTTGCCGCGCAACGTCGCGCATTCTTCTTTGTGATGTCATCACATCATGACGTCCCATTATCATGTTTGAAATATAGTTCGTATCGATTTATTCAGGGAATAGACATAAACACATACAATGTTTTCACATATATCAACTTGCATATGTATAAAAACACACATATAAATGCAAGAAAAATAATTATAAGATTAATAATGAGTATGTTCTATGTTACCCTAGGATTGCCAATTAAGCTAAAAGCTTATTTTCAATTGGGTCCATTTACTGTTACAGTACAATTATCACACAAACTTACATAATAATCAATTTAAAATTAATGACAATTTTTGAAAACTTGTTCAACAATCAACACCCATTTTTAATGTTATAAGACAAGTACATTGTACTTTAGAAAATTATATCTTATAAATTTCATTTGTGTTTTATCAGAATATATTTATCTGATATATTACAGTAAAACACTGGAAAGCATGAAATAACATATAGTAATTGTAATGTGTAAAAAAATAAGAAAGAATTGTGATACGTTTTTTTTTAAATGTTTTTATGTTTTTTTTTATAACCTACTTAGCTGAAGAAATTTATAAAAGGGAATGATATGGAAAAGCTATCTTATTAAAATTAAACATTTTTATTTTCTATAAAATTCAAACTTTTTATTTCATAAAATCTCAGTCAACATGTTCGCAAACTTGGATTTATTTCATACAGTTAGATATTTTAAAAATACAACGTTAATGTGATATAATATCTCAAAGCTGATACATTGTTCTTGAAAATGGTGACATTATGAGTAGAAAAAAAATGTTTGAATGTTTCAAACACATTCATTCCTATATTTTTGCTTGTTTGTTGTTGTTGCTGTTGTTGTTGTTGTCGTTTTAAATATTTTATTTATTTATTTATTTTTTTATAAAAAAGTGTAACCCCATTGAAATTCGATGTGTGTTACTATATACTAGCGCAGAAGAGATGCACAAAATCTTAAGTATTTAAAATGAGCTGATATTGATGTACTAGTATCGTCAAATAAATACTATAATTAAGTTTCTTTAATCAAGTGGGTTTTATGTATTTGTTGGATAGTTTAGCGTCCGCGCCTTTTGCGACGGCTTCAAAAATTCAACATTTAACAGAATAAGGTAAAAATTTTAATTAAAAAAAAAACCCAAACATTCGCAGATGCGTTCGTATTGAACCGTCAATGTAAGTAGCATTCTATGATAAGCAGAATATGGTCACTTATAGAAATTATAGAAAAATATAGCATGATCTTCAGACTCGTTAGTTTAAACTAATTTTTGTTAGTTCGATTGTGGCTTACTGAAACACTCAAGATTGAACCAACCAAAACTATGCAATGAGTTTTAAGTTTCTCGCTCACGGAAACAACGGCTTGACCCATGACGGGATTTGAACCCTCGCGACCAGCAATCCCTAGATTACTTGACCGACGTGTTTACTACTTGACCACGAGGACACGTTGAATTGTAAAGAAAAAACACAGAAAACATATTTATTGCTCCATTGTTTATTGACAGAAAACACATGACAGTCGCATATTGAGTAATGTCATTTTGTACTGTCCAGTTTCAAAATATTATTATGTATAATGAAATATCCATTCTGTTTCCTGTAATTTGTTTTTAATGAGACCAACGCAAAGAAATATGACACAAGTTAAGGTATATTTTTAAACAACTGAACGATTCAGATGACGGTAGAATCAGGGTATACATGAATTACAAACTGCCATCCATTTCGTTGTCATATTTTTACTCGAAATACCTACCCATTTTTATAGCTATTATATAATGAATTCTGAGTACATTTCGTAAAATTATAAGCCAACACGCGTTGTGTGTGATATTCGGTGTGGTGTCCAGATATTGGCCCTCTTTATGCATGGCCTTTTTGTACTGACCGTCTCAAAGTTTCAAGTATATTTCCAATCCAAAGCTGCACCACGGCCTAGTTTTTGGAAAAACCCTGAATTTTCACGTGCAAAGTCAGTTTGTTTTTGGGGCGCTTGCGCTGTTGCAAAGGAAAACGATGTGACGCGGGCCCTTTCTCGGCTATTTTGAAACAAAGCCCCCCTTCTGTATCTGACTGTTTGTCAAAATATGACACAACCAGAAGCCAGCAACCCTGTTTAAATTGGGAAATCACCAAAAACCCTTACTGTAAAGAAAATGATGTTTTTCTAATGTGACATCAGCAAAAGCAGAGGAACAATCCTGCCATTGATAATTACTTGTAATTATTTTTATTGACATTGTCCCCTTTGACAAAAGGGTTAATCAAATAATATCGTTTGAGGTCCGATCATCAATGGATATTTCGATGCAATGGATTTAGTTATTGTATATATTGTATTTATGTTATATTGACCTTTGATAAGAATTGTTGTATATAATTTCAGTACTGTACATACTTTTTTCTTTAATGATCCAGAGACCCGTAGTTCGAGTCCCGGTTGCGGCGTGACTCGTTCCGATTTTTCGTGTATTGTTCTATGTATCTATATTGTTCAACGAACACATTTTTATACTTTTTATTCCATGATGTAAATGTATAATTGTGTGTATTTTATGCACTAATGTTAATGTTTTTAAGATATTGCACAGCGCTATTGAATATGTTTTGCACATAGAAAAAGGCGTTTAATCAAATTTTCAAGTTTCAAGTCTTAACTTTATTGTCAACAAAAGGGATGATACTCATGAAGATCATAAAGTTGTTGTAGTTATTGCTGATACCATTGTTGTAGTTATTGCTTATACCATTTAATATGACTCAACATATATGGATAAAATATTGGAGATGATGACTTCAGCAAAGCATATAGCGGAGAAACAGCACATGACATTAGAGTCGAAGCAAGAGATTTGTACTAACCTGTGCTGATGCAAGAACCACAAACGCAAACTGAAATGCGATTGGCAGGTTAAAGGTGACAGCGTAGCCAAGAGTCCATTGCAGTCCAAAGACAGGGAACATAGACAGGGAAGAGAGGCAGATATGTCTGAAAAATGAAAAATAAATGGCCAATATATATAAATCATATGCAAAAGCTTGCGAGATTAATAAGATATGACCTGACTGAATAAAATCCATACATCCTCAAGATATGACGATATTGTTCGGCAAAGTGCAATGTGTGATTATTTGTACTTAGATAAAATCAATTGCTTTAAATCAACTACAGTTTTTTTATTCTATCACAGGCTTAATTTTTTAAAGATTCGGTGTGCAAATTTCAAATAAATCTTACCTCAGAATTGTTCGTTTGTCTTTCCCTTTTGTCATGTCCAACATAATCCCTGCACGCAGTATCATGACAAACAGGATCCAATTCGCCTAAAACAAACACAAAAGAATACTACAAAACAAAATCAAGAAAAAAGGGCAAATAGGGGAATCATTTGAAAATGAATTGAGGGATTATATCGTTCCGCAACTGAAATGGGCCTACATGTTTAAATAGAGTAAAAAGTCTATTTATACATTTCATTACATGTTTTTTTTAATTTGACCTTGCTATTCATGGCAAAAATTATATGTTCCGCGACTGAAGGACATGTGTAAATAGAATTAAAAGTCTATTAGTACACTACATTACATACATTTCCATAAGATCTTGCTATTATGCATAAAAGGTATACCAAATGCAAAACAATTAGACTATTCTTATACAAACAAACTTAATATCAATTATTAATGGGTTATGGTTATTTTCCTATACTAATGGCTGTTAGAATGATTGTCAGACTAAAGGATTGCTAAAGATAACCGATGATTTCTTTCTTTTTTGTTGGAAAAATTATATTGTATCGTGACAAACGATACAATACAGAGCAGCGTTGGATAACCATTGTGCGTCATACAAAAGAACGTAAACCCCTATTAGAAACTACAGTGTGAAAATTTGTCATCGGCGATAGCAATAAGCAGAAACAAAATAAATGAAAATTGCAGTTTCGATTTTATTTCAGTCTGTTTAATATGGGAGATAATGTTAAGTGCGACATCTCTCACACCCATTAGCACCAGCTTTAAAAGCGGAATTCAATCTTAAGCATTAAATGATTAAAATATATATTTACCACTTGAATCAGAAAGACAGGAAATAGGAACGCCATTCGCGTGTTTCTTTCGGATGGCAGCCAACACCTGAAAGTAAATTGATAAGTTTTTTTCTTTTTTCACTTCAACACTCCTACATCTCAGTTGTACTTCATTTGTATTAAGGTACATTGGCATTTTAACAGTTACTATGTTGCACTTAGAAATGCCATAGAAAGTCAAGTTTCTATGATCATTGTAAATACTAGTAGCATATGTTGCGACAGTGAACAATTGATCTGTTTGAGTATTTGATTTTATATAACAATCAAAAATACGATAAGTTTTTATTTAGAAAACTCTTTCTAATTTAGACATTTTGCAATGAGTGTCGCCAAAAATGGTCTTGCATTCTTATAAATATTATGAATTAAGTGTAGACGATATGAATTATTTTTAAACGTGTTTTCTTATGGCCATATTACAACGAGAAACCACAAGCCTGGCTATTCTAGCAGAGTTCAATGAACAATACAAATGAGCGCACATTTTGTTTTTGAATTGCGCAACAACTCTTACCTCCCCTAGCATCGGGTTAATGTAAGCAGTGTTCGCTATCAAACACTTTAAATATAAAAAACAATAACCACGAAGGACCAGAAACTATAAAACATTGAGACAAATACGGGGCAACATTTTGCAGCTTTTGAAAAAATATATTAATTATTTTACGATTGTACATGATCCTACAGATTATTATGTCACTTCCTGTGACTCATAAAGATCATACAGCGTCTATGTTAGAGCTATGAGATAGAAAAACATATGGTGGCTGATTTGGAATGCTTTTGTGCGTCGTGTTGGCTCTAGCGACAACAGGACAAGGCGCCAAACGGCGCGTTGTCGGACTTTCGTCTTGACGTCCTGTCGCTTACGATGTACGCCAAACGCCAAATCGAAGGATTGGCTTATAAGCCAAGCGACAGGGCGACATCGCGCCTTACGACAACGCGCTGTTTGGCGTGCTTCGCTAGAGACAGGACAACAAGACGACAGCGACAAGACAAAAAGGCGATAACGATATAGGTTGCGTTGTCTCTATCGACAACGCAACGTGCAATGTATTAAATCAGCCATCATGACAACCCGTGTCAACGCGCCCCTTTTATAACGTACAATAAAACGGAAAGTGGCACAATTTTCCGAAATCATTCGTTTTGTAAGAGAATTGAAAATCGTGACTTTTACCGTAAAGGTCAACTTTACCTTTCCTCCGACGCATACAAGTCTCCGCTTAACATTGTGGTAGCAATGACGACTAATGCCGGCACAATCCAGATAGTGAATACATACACTCCTCTTCGTCGGCATGTCTCTACACACATAGGTGCAAACTATTGGAAAAAAAGTAAATTTTTCAGTGCATGGGTATACTACTTTATTTACATTTTGTTACCTTTCTGACACATTATTGCACGTATAGCGCTACTTTATTCAGTTGTTAAACATCTAAAATGTCCTAAATTCATTATTCAAATTAAACTTTTAAACATACGTTTGGCATTTTTTAGAAAACCTTAACCAGTGCAAAAACACGTTAAATGTCTTAGTCTCGTTTATTTGCTAAGACATCACCTTAATAAAAAGGCCATCATCTTGTCATAGACAATGAGGTTAGTTTAATTGACATACCTTTGACCAAAGGTGGAGAGCGTGTGCAAACGATGAAAAATGCACACACATGAAGAAGTAGTGAATGACGCAAGTGGCTATCTTGCACATATACTGAAAACAAAAACACATAATATAAGAATAATAGTAATGTACAGAATATGAGCTTGTTTTATCTATAATTATTAAAATATGACGGTGTTTTGGTGAGTTTAAAAATCACCTCAATGTAAGACGAGTGATTTCTTTTTTTTTCCTATTCAAATAACAAGCAAATACTTTTAAACACTGGAAAAGTACGAGTAAAATATAAATCATGTCGATTCTATCAGCAACACTTTTTAATGGCTTAACATAATGCATCACTAGAGCAAGGCTTACGTCAATGTAATATTGGCAAAACATCATGGCATTCAGCAAATCACGATAAAAGACATACTGAATAAAATCTATTCCAAAGTGACTGATAAAAGCAATGTTAAATCAAAGTTTGATTTACTGCAAGTTGGAAATTGAAATATTGCAGAGTATATTAAAGTAACTAGAACAAATTAATCGTCATTGTATGCATATCGAATAAATTGCTTTGGCGTGAGCTAGCCCAGTTACGACTTTTTAATTTTTTTTTGCTAGAAAATTTACTTTTCTTTTTCTGGCGGAAAAAGAAAATTTCTGAATTTGTACAATTACTAAAAGATAAAATTAACATAATTATAAACACTGTTTTTAAATTAATTAATTAATTTTAATTTAAACAGTTATTTTGATTATTCAAAAACCGTAACTTTTGACAGCTTTGAAAAAATGCGATGGCTTATATTGTCATGTGTTCTTTAAAAGGGAGGTAATTCAGAAATTTCCGGTTCAGGATATCCTGTGTTTTCTGACCCGATGAATGAAATTTGTGCGGCAATCAGAAAAACACACATATTGCTTGTGATGAACATTCCATCACTCCGTATTCTGAAATAAACATTTATTATATTTGTCTAGCCAATCTGCATGTAGCGATCTCCCCTTCTTTCTTCGAAAAAAATACAATCAGGGGAAGTAACCGCTGAGAGCCACCTTGATTGAGCATTTTTGGTCCTGGACGTAAAATAAGGCTTATGACACAAAACATGACAAAACCACAAACTTTAAGATATTCATGTACATTTTGAATTAGTTTTATCAATTTAAGAATGTCTTGATTTTTTTTTCAAATTCAAATTTTAGAAAAAATGTTCTTTCTCTCTTTCTTTTCTCTTCTTTTCTCTTCTTTCTTTTCTCTTTCTTTCTCTTCTTGTTTCTCTTTTCTTCTCTCTCTCCTTTTCTTTTGTCTTTCTTTTTTCTTTCTTCTAAATTTAATTTCTTCTTTCTTCTTTCTTTCTTACTATTATCTTCTTTCTCTTTCTTCTTCTCTCTCTTCCTTTCTGTCTCTTGCTTTCTCTTTCTTTCTTTCCTCTTTCTTCTCTGTTTTCTTCTTTCTTCTTCTTTTGTCTGCTTGCTCCTTTTTTCTCTTCTTCATTTTTACTTCTTTTTTGTTCACTTCTCTTTCTTTTTTCTTTTTGTTCTTCTGTTCTTTTTTCTCTCTTTTTCTTCTTCTTTTCTTCTTCTTCTTCTTCTCTTTCTCTTCTTTTTCTTCTTTCTCTTTCCTTCTTTTCTTTTTTTTTTTTCTTTTCTGCTCTCTCTTCTGTTCTTTTCTTCTTCTCTTGGCTTTTTTCTACTTTTTCTGTTCTTCCTTCTGTTGTCTTCTTCTTTCTCTTTTCTCTTTTTCTCTTCTTCTTCTCTTTTCTTCTCTTTCTCTCTTTTTTTCTTCTGCTTCTTCTTGGGGGCGCCAAACAATCTTGTCGCTACTGGGATGCTATAAACCAAGTATACCGTTCACGAGCAAGAATTATTCATCTCTGGGTAATATTTATACAATTCTTGCATTTATTTTCGCAACGTGTTTTGTTGTCTGTTAGATTTAAGACAGGAGTCTTTTACTCCAAAACAATTATATATTGGATGTTAAATAAACAATTTTATTAGCAGTAGTATCTTATTCAGGGCACCTTTTATAACATCACGGTACTTAGCAAAACGTTTGTGTAAGTTATAGCAATGTTACAATGTACCATAGTAAAAGAGACTTATTATAAGAAATACGGTACTTTGCAAACAGTAAAGAACACTCATTATAGAAAATACGATACTGTGCAATTTTGAAAATGCACCATAGTTAAACGGCGCTTATTACAAAAATACGGTACTTTGCATTTTTGCAAATGTAATATAGCAAAGGGGGATTATTATAAAAAAAAATACGGTACTTACGGTAATAAGCAAAGAAGACACAGCAGACCATAGACATTGCACCGCTGACTTCAGATATAAGAGCCATGTGATCCAAATCATTGATAGATAACTGTAAAAAAGACAATTTCACTTTGGATATAATTAAGAGTCGCAATATCTAAAGTTTGAAGTTCTGTAACTCAATTTTTTTATGGTTTTATATCATAAATATAATGCTTAAATGAAGATTTATCAATATTGTAAGTTCCAAACAGCATAATTTGTAAAGATATTACCTAATTTACATTTAATGTTAATAAAGGGAGATAATTAAAAATTAATTTTTGATAAGTTCGAAGCCAAATTTTTCAATAAGAAATGAATGCATGCAAATTCCTCAAATGTAATGATCATAATTACATGTATTATGACAAAAAAATGAATATTAGCACATGTGATAAATGGTGCTGCATGTTATGAAATTTCAAATATGTGTTTATAAAAATTAAGGAAAATATAACTAATTATTTTACCAGGAGAAACACAAAGTCCGCTGTCACCGGGTGAATGCGTGAAATTCAATAATTAAATTATTTGTCAATATATTTATATATTGCAAAAGCCTGTAAAAAATATATGATTTCGTAAAATTATCTTTCGCGACGAGTTCGAAAAACCGGTGGAGACTTTTCGCGACGAGTTCGAAAAACCGGTGGAGACTTTTCGCGACGAGTTCGAAAAACCGGTGGAGACTTTTCACCCTCATGAATACCGGATCACAATTTTAATTAGGGCTAGGGCTTTAGGTCTTTTCATGTCTCAAGTTGTACAAAATTGAATTTGCATTGGAATTGTATAAATAGCTTTTAAACGATGTTGAATTGATGTAAAATTGATGTTTTTTTTTCCAAATTTATATAGAGAAAGAACGAATCGCTGGTGCAAAAACTGACCAAGCCACGCGGAAATCGTCAGGATATATTACTTGGGTTAGGACTTCAGGTCTTATAATGTTCAAAGAAGACCCTCCAAAGTTGTACAAAATCGAATTTGCAACGGTATTGGCCAAATGGTTTTTCAGCAGTTGACACGAGAAAATGATGCGTTTTTACGAAATTTCTTAAGACATTTTATCAATAAAGAACAAATCGCAGCCATTGAACGTTGAGCAGTAAGTACGTAGCGTTCATTTTGTAATAGCTAACTGTACATGAGATGAATTCCTGCAAGATTGAGAAAGATCAAGAACGTCGAAAAATGACCAAGCCATGCGGACATATCCTGGACATATTCCTTGGGTTAGGGCTTTTAGCCTTTTCATGTGCAAAGAAGACCCTTTTAAGTTGTACAAAATCAACATTGCAACGGAATTGATCAAATGCTTTTGAATGGTAGGCTCGTGAATATGATGTTTTTCCCGAAATTTACATAAAACTGACAAAGCCATGCGAAAATCACCTAGACATATTCCTTGGATTAGAGCTTTAAGCCTTTTTATGTGCAAAGAAGACCCTCTCAAGTTGTACAAAATTAAATTTTGAACTGAATTGATCAAATGGTATTTGAATGGTAGGCTCCTGAAAATGATTTTTTTTTTGTTCGAAATTTAAAAAGAGAATAACCACATCGCCGGTGCAAAAAAATGACTAAGCCACGCGGAAATCTCCTTGAAATATTACTTGGGTTAGGGATTTAAGCCTTTTCATATGCAAAGAAGACCCTCTCAAGTTGTACAAAATTGAATTAACATTGGAATTGATTAAATTGCTTTTGAACGGTAGACTCGTAAAATTGATTTTTTTTCCGAAATTTATATAGAGAAATAACAAATCGCTGGTGCAAAAATTGACCAAGCCACGCGGAAATCTCCTGGATGTGTTTCTTGGATTAGGGCTTTAAGCCTTTTCACTCGCAAAGAAGATGCTCTCAAGTTGTACAAAATTGATATTGCATCGGAATTGATAAAATGGATTTTGAACGGTGGGCTCTTAAAATTGATGTTTTTTTAGACATTTATATGGAGAAAAAAACATCGCCGGTGCAAAAAAAAATGACCAAGTCAAGCGGAACTCTCCTAAACATATTACTTGGGTTAGGGCTTTAGGCCCTTTTATTTGGAAAGAAGAACCTCTCAAGTTGTACAAAATCGAATTTGCATTTGAATTTATTAAATGGCTTTTGAACGGTAGGCTCGTAAAATTGATGTTTTTTCCGGAAATTCATATAAAGAAAGAACAAATATCTGGTGGAAAAAATGACCAAGCCACAATTCTCTGGACATATTACTTTTGTTAGGGCTTTAGGCCTTGTCATGTGCAAAGAAGACCCTCTCAAGTGTTAAAACATCTAATCTGCAACGGAATTGATCAAATGGTTTTTGAATGGTAGGCTCGTGAACGCGATGTTTTTTTTCGAAATTTAGAAAGAGAATAAACACAACGCCGGTGCACAAAAATGACTAAACAACGTGGAAATCTTCTGGACATATTACTTGGGTTAGGGCTTCAGGCCTTTTCATGTGCAAAGAAGACCCGCTCATGTTGTACAAAATTGAATTTGCATTGGAATTGATTTAATAGCTTTTGAAAGGTAGACTCAAAAGTATTAGTTAAGATAATCTTCTTCACTTAAAATTCAAGCCACGCGGAAATATCCGGGACATATTACTTGGGTAAGGGCTTCATGTCTTATAATGTTCAAAGAAGACCCTCCAAAGTTGTACAAAATCGAAGTTGCAACGATATTGGCAAACTGGTTTTTCAGCAGTTGACACGAGAAAATGATGAAATTTCTTAAGACTTTATATAAATAAAGAACAAATCGCAAGTGCGAATAGCGACTTTAAAACGTGGACTAGTTGCTCTTATTTTCCATGAAGTAACTCTTTGTGCCTTTAAGCCTTAAAAAGCAGTGAAGATCCTCTTAACTGATACAATCTACTAGATTGTCACACACACCAGCAAGATTGAGCTCTCTCAAGCCCGTTTTTGTCACACACACACCAGCATTGATTTACATTCATATGAAGTCAGACGACTACTGTATCGAAATAATGCGTCTTTTCTCGAAAATAACTTTAAATAAAGAAAGAGCAAATCGTCGGAAAATGACCAAGCCATGCGGAAATCTTCTGGACATATTCCTTGGGGTAAGACTTTAAGCCTTTTCATGTGCAAAAATGACCCTCTCAAGTTACAATCAAATTTGCAACGGAATTCATATAATTTAAAGTTTTCAATAAACGTGGTCTTCATTTTGTTCATGTCAATACTAGAAGTCTTTTACCAAAATTACATGAAATTAATTATGTAGCTCGTAGATCTACAGCTGCATGTATTTGTGTTTCCGAAACCTGGTTAGATGACTCAGTTCCAGATTCTGAAATATAGAGAATAAGAATCCCTAAAGAAAGCCCAACACGGCAAAATTGAAAATGTTGCAGGCTCGGTTTGATTGAGCCTTTTCATGGACGGTACTGTCAAGTGCAAACTACCGTCCACGCCCCATAGCACCGGCTTAAGCAGAATTCAACATTTAATATGAACTGGTAAATTAGCATCGACAGCTATTGTATTCAGCGTAGGGATCGAAACAGACAAGGGGGTGTCGTTTGTATTTATATCAGGAAGGATGTATCCTACAACACACGCGATGATATCAAGCATGAAGAATTAGAAGCTGTATGGATTGATGTACTTTTGCCAAAATCAAAACCTATCTTATGTGGTGTTATTTATAGACCTCCTGTGCAACAAAATTTTTATACAATTTTAGACTCTTTATGCTCGTCAAGTAGTGACTTTTTACAATGTGAATCTATAATGTTTGGACATTTTAATTCAGATGTGTCTTTAGTTAAGTCTTATCCTCTTTTGCAATGTTTTAAGTCATTTATTAATATGTTTCATTACAAACAATTGATCTCAGAACCTACTAGAGTTAGTACTACAAGTGCAACTTTTATTGACTTGATATTGGTGTCTGATAATGATAAAATTACTCTGTCAGGCGTAATTCATACTTCATTTAGTGATCGTAGCTTAATATTTTGTACAAGAAAAGTCAGTAAAATTCCTATTTGTTTTCATAACAATGTCACTTTAAGATCTTTGAAAAATTAAAACAAAGATGACTTTCAAGCTTGTCTTCTAGCTTCTGACTGGTCTCCTGTTCTGCTGAGTGATAGTGTAAATGATGCCTGGAATATATTTAAACAGTTACTGTTATCTGTGATAGACAATATAGCTCCTGTGAAACAGACCAGAATTAAACAGAGAACAGAACCATGGATTGACTTAGACATTCTTATTGTGATGAATGAAAGAGATAAAGCTTTTTATAAATATAATTGTAATAGAAACTGTGATAATTATGACTCATTTAAGACTCTCAAGAACGAAGTTCAGTATCTTGTTGTCAAAGCAGAAAAGGAATATTTTACTAATACATTCAGGAGAACAAAAATGACACAACCTCTTTATGGAAATCTGTTAAAAATCTTGGTTTGCCTTCCAAGAAGGGTTCATTTTCAACCGGTTAAAATATTTGATTAAATATCGATGATAATGTGTGTTTTGAAAAGAAACTTATTGCTGAATCATTTAACAAATTTTATACAACAGTTGCATGTAAACTTGTTGAAAAGTTGCCAGAAAGTGTGCAGAAATTTGGTACGCATTTTGTTAATACTTTTTATGCAAATAAGGGTGTTTTTGCAAACAGTCTTTCTTTTTCCATTGTTTCTGAAAGTAATTATCTTAAATACTTAACTTTATTAGGTGTCAAAAAGCTACTGGCTTAGATGGTATACCTTCACATTTTATCAGAGATGGATCCCCAGTTATTGCTAGTCCATTAGCTCATATCATAAACTTATCCCTTATCCAAGGTCAAGTCCCAGATAATCTTAAATCTGCAAGAGTTATTCCCCTCTATAACAAGAACGACAAATTGTCTGTTAGTAATTATCGGCCTGTGTCCATTTTAAATGTTGTATCTAAAATCCTTTAAAAGGTGGTTTATGACCAGGTTGAAGCTTATTTTAAGGATAAAGATCTGCTGTTTAAATTTCAATCAGGTTTCAGGAG